AGTGGAGAGTGAATAGGAAAATGAGAAGTGATTGCTGTGCAGTATTTAGGGCTGATTTGCAGTGAATGATTTAAAGTGAACCCACATGCCATGCTCAGCTGCAAGGACCCAGGCCCCCAGGAGGAAGGAGTTGGATTTAAGTGGGGTTGAGTTTTGCCAGGCAAGGTAGTGGCTGTGTGTACAAGTCAGTGGTTATAATGATGGATCATGGAATTTAAACTGCATAAGGAAGAACTGAAGATATGAGAAAGGTGAGGGACAGTGAATCTATTAGTAATAGGTTATAGGTTCTCGTAAGGTCAAAGAATTGAAGGAATCAAATATATTATCAGGAACAACATAGAAAGAAAGTAGGATGTTTGAGGTTGAGATTATGGGGGTTTATGGTTACTGGTAATGACAAGAGTGTATGGTCACGGAAGTGAAGTTTGGAGGGAGAGTGGAGGGAAAGTTTATTGGAGGAGAGAAGGTCAGAGGTTAAAGTACAGGAAAAATGATCTTTGTGGACAGTGAAATAATGAAATGCTACAAGAGAAATAGTATTGGAGAGGTCAGTAATAATGAGTTAGGTGCGCAAACATTCAATAAATGAAACAAAATGATTTTGGGCTCATGGATAACAACAAAACTGGTTTTAGGTGGTGTGGTTGTTAACTTGGTGTCAACTTTGTTGGGCCGTGGTTTTGAGTGTGGTCAGCTGAAGGTAGTTATTCCCCATGATGAGCTCTCCATGGTGGAATCTGCAGTGAGCAGTGAAGTAGTTGCCTTCAGGGTGTGGCCTGTTTCCAGCATATAAGGAGAAGTTTTGAGAAAGATTGTTAGCTTTTTGGCACATCTGGATCCTGCATTTGGCTAAGTCTTCATCTCAGTGGTCTGCCATGTTGCCTGCTGATCTTGGGACAGATGCTGGACTTGAACTAGTGGCCTGCCATATTGCCTGTTGATCTTGGGACTGTTCCATTTTGCCTGCCAACCTTGGGTTTGTTAGTTTCAGCAGTCAGCAGCTGCCTGAGTTAGGAATGCCTCTAGCATCAGTGGGCTTG